AGTTGAAAAGGCTGCCCTGGCAGTGGAGCTGGAATGTGGGCAGGGAGGCTGCTCCTCGGTGGGATGTTGCTTCTCTCTATACACCCAGGTAATTGAGCTGTCATATTTAAAGTTTTATTGGTTAAGATTCAGGTTCAGACTAGAGCCCTTCTTTTGCAGTTCCTTCGGGGCTACATGTGGAAAAGAACAAGCAGAAACCTCTGTGATGAGTCCTGAATGAGGACTACTGATAAATGAACAGCAGTCAGTCCTTGTGGTTTCAAGGAACACGAAGGGGGAGGGGGTCATTTAAACACTTAAAAACAGAAAGAAAATACAGAGCTCTTCCATTTAATATGTCAAAACTGGCTCCAGAGTGTGTGACCATCCGGGCCAAGCACTACAATTTCTAGTCAGTCCAGTCATGATTCTCTGGCAAACTGCACAGTCACGGTTGTGTTGGGATGAGAGGTGCTATATAAATGTCAGATGTTACATAAATGTCAGGAATAATTATTGTTTGTTAATGGGGGCTGAACTGTTCCTAAGCAAAGACCCGACTTCAAGCCAACTCGCCCTTAGCAGTGGTTCTAACTACCACGACCAGTGAGGAGAGAATACTTCCTTTTGGTTTTACAAAGAAAGGAGCACCGTGGGGAGTTGGGGTTTGAAAGCAAGTTTGGGTGGTGCCAGCGCAGGCCAGCCCCTTAACCTCCTGGCTTATGCCTTAGCTCACCTGCAAAGTGGGGTAATTGTAACACCAGCCCTACTAAGGGAGTTCACTTGGGTGCAAGCGCTTTGCAAAGTGCGAATTGCTACAAGGATGACGGTGGTCGACTTGGATTGGGCTGGAACTTACTCTTCTGAGTCTTACTCAGAGTGAGAGTGAGAACTTCTGAAAAGAAATTGGGCTAGGGATGGTGACGAAGGTGCCTGGTGGATGCTGGAAACGCCAGGCTCTTTTTCTCACTGCGTTGTCAGGAAGATACTGCAGATCAGGCGCCCAGATTCTGCTTCTGGTTCTGGCTCGGCCCCTTCCCAGCCTGTGAGCTTGGGCAAGTTACCGAGGAGGTCTGGAAGTGATCGCCAAGGGCCCTTCCGGCTCTGACGCGGAGTCTAAATCAGGCTCACCGGTTCGGCTCTAGCGGTGATTCACCTTTCGCCTCCAGGAGCAACTCTCCCAACAGCTTTTCAGACCGACCAAGCAGGGGTCTTGGAAAGGCCAGGGTCTGTGTATCCATGTGCAAAATAAAGAAGTTACTCACCTGGATGTGAGATGGGGGTGGGGATCGGAGAAGAAGGGGTGTCGAGTGAGTGCTCTGCGAAGCAAGGACTCAGGGAACACTGTAATGAGGTCATGACTGTCGCAGGCAAAAAGGAGCTGGACATCTGCTGGTGGGGGAGGGGAGAGTCTTGCATTTCGGTTTGCAAAGTCCTTCCCCACACCCTTTACCCCCTTCTCCACCTCTCCCTTGCACCTCCATCCCCACACCTTTCAAACCCTACCCGGCCCTCCTCACAGAAGAGCCGGTGCCCGTGCCTCCTCCGTGGTCCTGTCTGAAACCATGAGGATTGTTTCCAAGCTGACTCACACCACTAATGTTAGGGAGCCGTGTCACAGGGAGCCGTGTCACACGGCGCTGGGCTCTGCAAGCTGTTGCTTGCGCGGTCGCCACCGCCGCCGCCGCCACCGCCGCCGCTCCGGGGCGGGTGTATCGGGGTCGGCCCAGGAGCCCCGCAGCCTCCCCGCGAGGGCCGGGGCGGGGCCGAGGCGGGACACGCCCCCTCGGCGCGCCAGCTCCGCGGACCGCAATGATTTAGAAGTTCAGGAATCCCACGTGACGTCACCGGGGGGGTGATGTAATGCACTCTAAATAGAATGTATTGTAATCTTCGCTCAGTCCAACGTGGTCCCTTCACCCGGGCTCCGCTCTTGCCTTCTCCACACTTGTTTGGTAAGTTCCTAAAAATACGGCTCGGCCACTTCTGGGGCTTTTGCATTTAGCCACTTTTGTTGCACTTGCCGCGAGAATCATCTCCGGAGCGTACTTGTTTGCAAGGGTCGCTGCTCGGCAGCAACCGTAAGGTTACTTGGTCTAGTGGGCAGGTCACAGGGCAAGGAGTAGGGAAGATGCAATGCCTTCTTTTTGGAGGGTGAGCTGTGTTTGTAAACACTCTGCGGACCAGAAGGAAGTCCGGCCCCCATTGCTGGTGGACTGTGGAATTGTGCTGTGCCCTGAGGCCACGCCAGATCCCCCACGCCGTGTCCGCCCCAGAGCGCGTCCCGGTGGCCGCCGCGCCGTGCGACTAGAGGGATGCTAACGTGGAGCGAGCGCCGTGTTGGTCCCGGCGTGCGTGCGTGTGTGGGAGCGCGCGTGTGTTTCCCTGACATGGGGAACAGTTATGAATCGGGGGTGTGTGTTTGCCTCCAGAGACCTGCCAAGGTGCGGAACTCTCCAGAAGTGCGGTCAAGCGGTGGCGGCGGCGGCGCAGCGGAGACGGCGAGCCAGAAAACTCCCCTCGCGTTCCCAACTTCCCAGTGATGCGGCGGAACCCCGGAGAAAGTTTGCAAACTTCCAGCCGGCATGGCGAGGACGCCGGGTCACCTAGGGGGCTGACAGGCGCGCAGGGGGCTCGCTCTTTCCCGGGCGCCGAACGGGGCCACCCGCCGCAGCTGGTGGGTAAGCGCGCCTGGGGAACGAGGTTGCCCTTGGAGGGCACTTGGCTGCGGCTCTACTCCAGGAGCGGATGGTCGAAAGGCGAGGCTCTGCTCGAGTTCACTTCTCCAGCCCTTTCTTGCCTCCGCTGGCATCATTACCTCTTCCCAGCCGGTGCCACAAATGACAGCTCCCGCTCGGGCTATGGCCGCGCGGAGGTGGTTCGCGGGACCCCGCAGCGGAGCATTCCTCTCCGGCTGATATCGACGCAACCTCTTAAACTTTTTAGAAGTTTCTTAGAGGGGCAAGAGACAAGGAACTAAGAAGATACTTTCTCCTGGGTGCCGCATTCCTCTTCTTCTTTGCCATATATTTATTTCCGGCGATGTCTGGTAGATAGAGCCCTAGACCGTGGCTCACCACCCCGCTCCACTTTCCCTGAACGGGTGCCGCCCCCACTTGATGCTTGCTCAAGGCCGGGAACTGGAGTGGGCTGCGTGTAGATTTCGTTGTCAATCTGCAGAGAGGATTCGATTGTTTTTATTTTTCCTTCTCTCTCTGACATGTGTCAAGGAATAAAGGCTGGATACAGGTCCATTACGTCATTCTGCAGGCCAGTAAGTGTTTGATTAACAGCTTCAGATACTCAAGAGTTCAAGGGCTTAGAAATGCTGACAAAGCAACTCTGCTCTCCATCCCCAGCCCCCAATTTACTCTTGCAATCGCGAGTTCGCGGGGCATCTCCCCCGCTCTCGCTCTCCCCCAACTCCTCCTTGTTCATCCCTCCCCCGCCCACACCGTTATCACTCTTGCTCCGCCTTTGCCTTTTACTGCTTCCCCTGGGGGGAACACTGTCCCTAGAGTGGGAGTGGGAGCTTCTGGTGTCGGAGGGGGGACGCAGTACCTGATCAGTGCACAATCTGCCCTTTTCTATTATTTAAGATAGGCACCGACAAGTCCCCTTCTCCAGGGCGAAAATTCTCAGCGCTGGTAGAAAAATCATCTCAGAAAACGTTTAGAAGCGCTATAATACTGTGTCCCTGTGATAACTTGGGAAAAGAACACACGTCCTGCAAACAAAGTATTAAATTTTACATAGCGCCATCCTAGGACCATTTAGCAGAGGGGGGAGGACTCAGAAATGAGGATGCTGACTAAATCAAATTTAGCTGAAAGGCTCAAGGTTCACTGTTTCCAAAGTGATGGGAATGTGAGTAGTTGAACCCAAAATCTCATACAATAAATTGAGGTGTGTGTGTGTGTGTGTTACTTTCTTGCTCTAAACTTTAAATTTCTGCATTTAAAGAGGACGTTAAAGACAAAACCATTGGGTTGAGTTAGAATCTCTGTATCTGGCAGTAAAAATAAAAATGTGGCAGGTTCAAAGTATAAAGTAAAAAGAACTTTTTTTCTTTTTGGCTGATGTAACAGCAGAAATCAAATAAAAATTTTACTAACAGGGTTTTGGCAGAGAGAAGGTAGCAGATTTGGGTGCTCTCTGATTTGGAGTAGGTGAAAGCTAAATAAAGGAAATTTTATATTCCAAATATGTGGGAACCTCTTGAAGAACATATGTTTTGTTATAATCAGCTCTACTTTCTGCAATGTGAAAGTCATGCTGTGGAACAGGCGTTTGTGAAGGTCGCGTTTGGGGTCTAATTGACATCCTTCTTCAAGTTTTCAGCAGTATTTATTATTTATTCACATCTACTGATGAAATAGTATAAGCCACACACAATACTTGTGCATCAAAAATGTTAAACTTCTTGTTTGTGATGCACAGACCTAAAGGGAAAATGGCCCAGGTCATACCAGCAATGGAGAGTGTGATTAATGATCAGTGATTTAGTGATCAGTGATTAGTGGTTTTATTCAAACTGTTACCTCTGACCAGAAGCACACATCAGAGGATTAACAGGCTCTTTAGATAAATGCTCATTAGTGGAAGGGGAAAAGCAAAGATAATAGGCATGCACCCAGGGACAACTTTCGAAGAAAATCATTCCTGTCTTCAGAATAATAAGCTCTGTTAACTGAAAGCCCCTTTAATTTAAAACTTGCTTTTATCTTGTAAATCAAAGTTAGATGTAAAAGTTTGTAGTGCCATTATAGCCTAAATTTTCCCATATCCACTAGATGTGGATTATCTCAGTAGCGATATATTTTTTTTTATTTAAATAAATAATTGGACCTTTAAAGCAGCTGAATCCTGACAAGTTCTTAACTCCCAGGGTCTGAAGGTGTCCCCCCATCTAGGGTGGAGCACGCAGCTTGCTAACTAGATGGCGCACTGTTCTTTGGTGTTCTGTGCTGTGTAGTTCAAGAGTATAAACTGAGCAAGTAGCTGCTTGCGAAGTGTTCTTCAACACTTAGAACAAAGTTGATTCTGTGTGGGGTTAGAGGCTAGATAGTTCTACAAGTTTTTAGTCACATTTTCCATGTCAGTTAAATCTGGGGAGTTAAAGGCAACTGGAAAAATTAGTCTCATTACTAAAAGAGAACGGGGGAGGAAAGGAGGTATGAGAATACAGGAGGTACCTACCTCTAGGTTGCAGAAGTGATTGTAAAGTAGCAGAACTGTTCTTTTGACTTAGAGTTAGTTCCACAGTCTTGTAGTCTGAAAGACTAGAGCAGATTCTCAGAGATTTATCTTCTTCCTGATCTTGCTGGTGAAAAAAGAAGTTACTAGAAAAAAAAAGAAGGAAAAAACAGAAAACAACTTGATTTGGTGACTGCAGGAAACAACCCATTGCTGATTTTATTTTAAAGATAATGGTAAGATGATTTTATTATGCCAATTAAGCAGAGAGAATTTTGTCCTTGGTTGAATGGGGTCGATCTTGTATTTTCATAGCTAGAATTCAGAAATGGAATTCTTAATTTGCTCTGAATTTTAATGTTGCTTTTGTCGGTTTCCCAGGACTTGGAAGCATTTGGTGGGGAAGGCTGTGTGTATATGTGCGTGCGCTTGAGTGTATATGAATAAGACCATTATTTCCTGAGTAAAATGTGTTCATGAGCTTGTGAACTGCAGTGGGGAATCTAAGGAGTTTGTTAAATAATGTGTCAGGTAAGAATCCCTTTTCCGCTACCTTTCATGAATCATTTCAGTAAGTACTTCAATTGTAGTAAGGAAGGAGTTCTTTAAAAAGAAACTGGAAAGTTCAAAATAAAACACCTTTTTTCCAAATCTAAACCTAGATGTGTATTCCCCTGCAGAAAGTGATACTAATTGAATATCAGCTATTACTCCAATTTCAATGTTAAAATGAAAACGGTAACTTACTTGTGCCTTGTGTCTTGTTCTCATTTTCCTTTGCTTGTTGCCTTTTATATCGATTTGTCATTTTAAAATCCTTACTGATTCATAACAATTTTTATTTTTCAACTTTGCTCAGACTAACCATGAGTTCTCACTTGATAATTGTCTCTCAGTCAACAGTTTGTGAATGACAATTGATAGTGTCCATGAGTGGCCTATTAGAAGTCAGTTGTAACTTTATGTAGTTTATACCTGAGCAGAGTTTATTAATATATTTCCTCAAAAAAGTGGAAAGGATGCCTTTATTTCTTTACCTCTGTGATGTTGCAACTTTTATTTGAATAGGTGGTTAAATGAATGGTGGTTTGTCAGGCAGACTTTTCCTGTACAGCTTTTCAATTACAGACAGTAAGTTGAAGATTTTTCTTGCAACTATTTGCCAGTTTTCCACACGTGCAGACTCAAAACTAGTCAAGCATGAGCTTTCTATGACTATTTGTACTGATGTCAAGTCCCTGGTTTCCCCATTTCTTGCTATAATTTCCTTTGAGCAATGATGCATCACCATTCTTTAGTATGTCCTTAGCATTGGAGTTTGCTGCTTATTAAGCTGAAAATTATATTGTGGTAGTGTGATGTTCACTGTAGCCACAAGATATAAACTTTGCATTTATAGTTAACTTTCTTCCTGTGTGTTAGGAGAAACTTGGGGATTTGAGTAAACTTATTATTTTTGTCAACTTTTCTTTTCTTTCTTTCTTTTTTTTTTTTTTCTCCCTTCAAAGCAATGCAGTTAGTCACAAAATTAATGTGATCATGGCTGGTGTTTCCCATCTAGATGCTTCTTTTGCTTCTTACAAATTGGATTTCTTCAGCAATTTAAGATCTTTTTTTAGAGGCAGCTTTCTTGGATGAAGATGGAACAATGATCTCAGTCAATTCATTATCTTGTCCAGTTTGACTACCAGCCATATTATGGGAATCAACCAATGCTTTTATAAGTTAGTGCTTAAAAATTTAAATCTTGAACTATTTCTCTGAATTCTATTTAAGAAAATTATGCAGTTGCGATAAGATAATAAACTTGGGGCCAGTAGTTCCAATATTTAAGTGTGAGAAAGGAGCACTTTCAGATATGCTAAACAGGCTTACAGACACAGCAGAGCCTTTTCGTATTGCTGTTTGTAAACTAAAGAAGCTATCCATTTTGTGGCATTGCTTTAAATAGAAACTCTGGCACTTTAAAAACTGACATCATGTTTCATGTTTTCACTAAAGAGTTATTACATTTTGTAATTGGGAAAAAAATAGACAATCAGTGTTTTTTGAGGATCCATTAGCATTTCATTGTTGGGAATCACAAATCACGGACTTAATGTAAGGAACAAAAGCACTTTTAGAAATTTCCAGGTAGTGATAACACTGTTCCAGAAACAAGAGTAAATGCTTTGAAGTTCACATGAGGACTACCAGACTTTAAAAGTAAAAATTTAACAAAGTTTTGGACAAATTCCTGAATTTATAAGATGTTACATTTTCATTTCACTATTTCTTTCCTTGCAGCTCACTCCATCATCCACTTTTTTCCTGAGAAATAGATCAGAATCAGTTTAACACTTTATATATGCATATTTTAGATGCCTTTTTCTATTTCCTTAAGGCTCACATTTCTAATCTCTACTCTTAAATTAACAAAGATTGAAAATAGCCTGTTGGTATTTGACTTGAACTAATCCTAGAGGGAGCAAAAGAGTTCCTTTTGGTGAGAGATTCTGATGGTGAGATAGAAAGACTAATAGTATTAAGCAGATGATGTTGGAGCTGGGGGAGATCTCCCTATTGATAGATCAACCTCTTCACTTTATGGAAGAAAACCTAAGGCCTGGTGGTGTCCTCTGACTCTCCAAAGGCTGGAAGCAAGCCAGGGCCAAGCCAGGCCTAGAAGCCAAATCTAGCTTCCAGGTCAAGTTTACTTCCCACAAACCAGGCTTTAAATATACATTTAAAAATGCATATCTAGAAATGCCTTTGTCCCGAAGGAACCTAATGCATGGCTTTAGATGCTTTGCTCTTTTCAAGGCTTGGACTATTACCCTGTCAAAGACAGATTTGTATTAGCTCTTTGGAAAGAATGGCTTGTCTATAGAAACTGGTTTCTTAAAACTCAAAAAAAAAAAAAAAAAAAAAGCAGGTTTACTGATCTGATAGAGACTAGTGGAACTCCTGAGACTATGACCCTTAGATACCCTTCAAGACTGAACTGAACTCCCTGCCCCCTATCAACTTTCAGCCAAACAATAGGCCAATGGTGAACAATAACACCAGAAAGGTATGCTCTTCTTAGAATCATTGACCATACAAGATCCAAAGGGCAGCATTTGCCCAGAGATAAAGTCTAGAAGGCAGGAAGGGACAGGAAAGAAGGATGAACCGAAACAGGAAACACAAGGAGGAAGTGGAAAGAGTGCATTGTGGGGACTGCAATCAATGTCATGAATCAAAATGTGTATACATTGTTGAGTGGAAAACCAATTTTCTCTGAAACTTTCACAAAAATCAACAAAAACCAATAGCAAAATGAAAAAAAAAAAAAAAAGAAATTGTGTTTTGTAGTCTAGTTTTTTCTTATAATGTTAATGCAGTATTCATTTTTGTAATATTGGCCTCCTCGTTAGATTTTGGGAGCTCTGGTGGCATAATGCCTAAGGCATTTGACTGCTAACCAGAAGGCTGGTGGTTCAAACCCACCAGCCACTGCTTGGAAGGAAGATTGGGTGTCTGCTTCTGTAGTGATACCGTCTTGGAAACCCAAGAAGGGGTCGCTATAAGTCAGATCTGATTTGATGGCAGTGACTTTGTTTTTTCGGAATTTGATTTTAACTTAAATCCTTCCTCTTCACTGTTATTATTAGATGTACACCATCCAGCTTTCAATTGAGACTAAAAACTAGACAGAGCTACAACTAGTCTCAAAGATTGTCCCAAGTGAGGCAGTTATTTTATTTCCTCTTTTTTCTTTATCATTGAGGAAAGAATTTAGGTAAAATATATGTTCTTTCCTTTTTATCAAATACAGCAACAAGTGCTATTTCACCCTGGCAGATGTACTTTGGTTCAGGACCCATCCATATTATGTTATCTTTAGAGGGTGATATATATGAGAGTATTTGTTGGTGAGTATTATTGAAAAGTGAGTTGAGTCTGGGAGTATGCTCTTTGAGGTTTGACTGGCAAGACTTAACTGATCACACCCACTAAACCCACTGCCATTGAGTTAATTCCAACTCATAGCAACCCGATAGGACAGAATAGAACTGCCCCCAAAGAGTTTCCAAGGCTGTAAATCTTTAGGAAAGCAGACTGCCTCATCTTGGCCCCTTGGAGCAGCTGGTGGGCTTGAACTGCCAACCTTTTGGTTAGCAGCTGAGTGCTTTTTACCACTGAGCCACCAGAACTCCTTAACTGATCATAAACCAAAAAAAACCAAATTCACTGCCGTCAAGTTGGATCCGACTCATAGTGACCCCTCCTTGGGTTTCCGAGGCAGTATCTCTGCAGAAGTAGATTGCCCAATCTTCATTTCGAGGAGTAGCTGGTGGATTTGAACCATCAGCCTTCTGGTTAGCAGTGAAATGCCTTAGGCACTATGCTACCAGAGCTTGAAATCACAATGTAGGAGCTACAGAGCTCCAAAAATTTGATTTAAGATGGCATCTAGGCAGTACTGTGTTTAGGAGAGAACAAGAATATCTAAATAGAAATCTTGAATGTGTCTACTGTATGTGTTGTTTGGCCTGACCCGTAAGTTTCCTTTCCAGCTCTTTGCATGAAAGTTTTATATCAGAATTCAGGTCTCTTTTATTCTTTCATTACCCTGAGGAGCCCCTGTGTTGCAGGCTTGATTTTTCAAATATATCATATATCAGCTAGTTTTACACAATTCTGTCTCTTCAGGATTCTCAAGGGTGAGGAAACACGTGCAACAAAAAACATCTTTGTTTTTATTTGAATTAGCTGATTATTAAAATAAATAAATTTTACCTCCACTTGGCCAGATCTGGTAGAACCATTTCACTATTAAAATGAGATTTTCTTCTTCAAGTAAGTGATGATGTTTTTTAGCTTCTGAATAACCAGGTACTAAGGTACCAAGCAGCCCTGGTGGTGCAGTGGTTAAGCACTTGGCTACTTACGAAAGGCCAGCTGTTTGAATCCACCCAGTGGTTCTGCAGGAGAAATATGTGTCAGTCTGCTTTCATGAGGCTTATGGCCTTGGACACCTTATGGGGCAGTTCTGTTCTATCTTATAGGTACCAGAGAGTAGAAAGCATAAAGCTTAAAGTCCATTTGCAGTAGGATACTCAGGTGTGCCATTGTGCACATTATGAAGAACTTGGTTTGCCTCACTGCAATGACAACATTGTCCAGAAAACAGTTAAACACTGGGAGGAAAAATAATATTATAGGCTCACACTTCTAAATTTTGAGCAGGGACTGGTGGTATACTGAAAAT